ACGCGGACCCCAACCAAGTAGTCTGCATCTACCAACATGGCTCAGACTAGAGGTTAGTGACTTCAAGCACTGATGCCACGTTTTGGTTTGGCCGCCCCTAACTTTCTTCCAACCATCCCCTACACCGGTTAGCATTGCACGTCGCGGTAATCGGTGTTCAGGCATACGTAATACGTGGCCCAACCATCTCAGTCGATGAAGATTCATAACCTCATCAACTGATTTACCATCATTCCCTAATACCCTACGTCTAACCTCACTATTACTTACCCGGTGATCCCAGCAGATGCCAGCAATATTTCTAAGGCATCTGTGGTCAAATACTAGTAGCTTACGGGTGTCTTCTACTCTTAAGGGCCATGTTTCGCTGCCGTAAATTAAAACAGAACGGACAGCCGCGCAGTATACTCGTCCTTTTATTGATAGACTGATATCTCGCCTCCGCCATAGGTGACGTAAGTTGGCAAAAGCCAAACGAGCTTTACGAATCCGTGCTGAGATTTCGTCAGACACCAACCCATTAGGGCTGATCAGACTTCCAAGATAAGTGAAGTTGTCAACACGTTCGACTACTTCACTCCCTATCCTTAGTTCAGGTGTTGACGTAGACCAGTCCTGAAGCAACAACTTGCATTTAGAGGGAGAGAAGCGCATCCCAAACATTCTGGCATTGTTGCTTAGTGCTACCAGAAGACTCTGCATTTTGTCAGCGTCTTCACCAAACAGGACTATGTCATCTGCATATTCTAAGTCGATAAGTGGACCTCCTGGAAGGAGAAGTGGACCTCCTGGAAGGAGAACCTCAATGGGAAGATACAAGCAAAACAATAGCAAGTGAATTTGAACTTCACCTCATTCAAAAGCAAGTGACTATCAGGACTCAGTAGCTGAGTGGATAACGTGATGGCGTTTGAAGCGAGTGGTACTGGGTTCGAGTCCCAGGGTGAACACCAACTCCGGTATTCAGGTACACCCAGCTGACGAGTCCCAAGTGGGACGAAACGCGCGTCCTGGATTCCACTGCTAGCCACTATTCATTATTGCTTACAAAATACTTTTGGAATATATTCATACATATCGTTCCATTACTTATCGATTTACGAACGTTAATATTACAGTAATTTTTAAACATTTTTATATATATCCAACAAAAATTGTTAATACCTATGCAACAATCAACATGATTATTAAAAAAAAAAGTCTTGCAATTAAATAATTTATCAATATTCAATTTTAATGGTTTCATCCTTTTCCAATAGTAGTAACCGCCCAACAACAACAAAAAAAGACAATGAATCACTTTGTCTGTCCATCTCTATTATATTGAGGTGAAAAGAAAGAATAAATCAGTGCGTGACATAATTACGATTGATACATAAGTGTTCAAGGAATTAGTCTTGATTAAGATAAGAAAAGGAAGTATTTGAATGTAGCAGATAATTTCGAGAATATACGAGTTTCTTGCATTCTGAATGATCAACAATCGATTTGTCGATTGAAAGTGGAACACTTTTATCATTGAACCACACTACTTTGATTGTTACACTGATCCAACATTAAGACATAGTTTGTGATGTGTTGCTTAATTATTATCACTATGCGAAATTCAGAATTTAACCAATTCAAAAAATAATCTGTTTGGTCTATCTTTGTGAGTTTTTAAACACTTACTTATTTACTCCTGTTACTCCCGATGGAGCATAAGCCGCTGACCAACATTCTCCAACTCACTCTGTCCTGTGCCTTCCTTTCCAGTTTTATCCAATTTTTGTTGATTTTTCTCATGTGTCCCCATTTCTCGGTGTAATGTTTTCAATTAGTATTGTTTGTTTGTACCTTCCCATTGTTATTTAGGATATACGTACATACAGCTGACGAGTCCCAAATAGGACGAAAGGCGCGTCCTGGATTTCACTGCTAGCCACCATACATCTTCGCTTATAAAAAATCTAGGTTTATTTCACATAATACATGCAGTATTTATTTAATCATTTTGTTTGTGTAAAATGTTGTCTTTATTAGCGTTAACTGGTTTAAGTGAGCTTATGACAATTATGAATACCGATTAATAACCGATATTGTTATTAAACTCCAAACTAGTAGTTTTAATGGTTAAGCTTTATTGCGAAACACGAGTCAAGGGTCCCCCCTCCCGGAGCTGTGCTTGAATACCATTGAGGAACGCAGCAGAACTATGAAACAACTGCTCCCGAGCTATCAATTGTACACCAATTGGGAACAAATTGTGGTAAATACGTGCAAACTGCTATCTTTCATAACAGAAAAAGCTATTGAGTAAATGCTATATTAAGATTTTGATGTGGTAAAATCATACACAGTAATGGCTTTTAAATGAGACCAACGTCCACGTATATAAAGATATGCTAGCGAAACGTATGTATCATCCTGAACTAGTGACCAATATTTCGAATTAAAGTGAATTCGTTGGAAGTGGTGAAATAGTGAGACATTAAAATATCAATTCAAAAGTCCTGAGCTCGATTGTTAGCGATGTAATTGCTTACTACTGTTTCGTATTATGACATTTTCCTACGGTATGATAACTGATGCTACTCTGTGACAAAAATCTACCAACGGGAGTTTAGTAACCCTAATGAACTATTATATTTGTAGCGAACGTCACCCGAGGTATTAGTTCCCTTTAAATCCCATTAGGTTAAATCGTAAAACGGCATCTGTACAGTCTTAGGGTCCTATATAATTACTTGAATTGACAAAAAGATTATTTGACACGCCATATATTACTAACCAATTACATTGACGAATACATAAACATTAATAGACGTTCTCATATTGTCATTATGGCTTACTGGTGATACCACGGACTAAAGCAATAAACATGAGTTGAGACAATTAGTCTAAGAGACATTATCATGAATCTAAGAATATTTTTTGCTGACACGTATAAAGTTATCTAGAGTAAGACAAACAATCTCTTAATTCAGCCAATCAGCCCAAAAATAATAACAAATCAAATCTATTAAGCTGAGTACCGGAACAGTAAAATGAATGAGGAAAAGACTTATTGAAGAAATCATCTGCTTTAGCTCGAATCTAATTATTGAAACAATGAAATACACATGTAAGGCAATCTCAATAGAGCTAGACTAGAATGTATTGGATACATTATGTTATATATGAGTCAACAACACCTGCGAAGCTTAAAACGTAGTATAAGTGACAACAGAAGTTAGTACTCATTAACTCCGTAGTGCTACTCAACTGTTATTGATATGATTATTTCTTAGATTTCAATCTTGTTAAATATGACATGAAGTCACTGACTACAATATTCGCAATTAATGGTTGGTAATTTGATTAAGAGAATTGTGTAGCTTGAAAGTTTTGAACATAAGTTGCAGTCCTTTACGGCGTAATACCTAAATGTTAGAAATAATCAATCCTACTGTTAATTTACAGATAAGCTCCGGTATTACTTGATAACTTAATTTATGATAAACTAACTATCACGGGAATGGTATACTCGTAAGTTCTTTTATAACCCACTATGCACAGATTTCGAATGATAACTACGCATACAAATGCATAAATAATACTAACGTAACCAAGACACATACAAAAAAAATACGCAAACACTTGAGTAGGCACTAAAAAAAAGAGTTTGATCAAAATCACATTGAAATGCACTAAGATTATTGTTCTCGTAATCATCATCATCATCGTCGTCGTCATCAGGCTTACCGTCATTATTACAACCCCAAATTGTACAACCTTGGTGTATCGTGTGGAAATTTAAGCAATAAATTAGAATAGGAAGATTGAAGGGGCTACATATAGAGAAAAGTTGGAGAGACGGAGAAAAGAAACATGGGAAAAAAAAACAAGGGAATATAAACATTTAAAAAATAGACATATTTGGACAAAAGAAACAGGACTATAACAATAAGAATAATAATAATAAATCCTTTAAATATGTATATATAACAAGGGTATATCACAATTGATATACACATGTATTCATTCAGTATGAAAACACATTTACTCATCTTTAGAAAGAAAGAAAAAAAAAAGGGATATTCTGATCAAGAAACTGTACAACATAATAGGAAGTTCATTGGAAATTCTTTAAAATAATATATATATGTATGTGTATAAGCAATTTAGATAATTACAAAATATGCAGTAGTGTAAAGGGGTTCGGCTGTTGTTGTTGTTTTTTTTTAAAAAAAAAAGAAAAACAAGTGTAGAAGGCTAACCAAAAGATATCATCACGATAATTGGCACCACTTCTTTTTTTCTAAAAGGAACAAACCAAAGATAAAACAATAAATAATATATATATATAGGATTGATGAACTATTATTTATAGAAAGCGGTCAAGTAGTGCGTTCTGTTAATAAATAACCTGTGTGTATGTATATGTGTGTGTGTGTTTATAGATATACACAGATTGTTTTGAGAACAATTTTCGTGTGATAACAGCGGGGAAAAAAAAGAGGAACAAATTCTCGTCTCAAGATGAAAAAAGAAAAATAAGAGTTGAGCTGCACACGGAATTGATAATCATAATGATAATAGAAATACAACAGTGAATATATTATATAAATAGAATTATCTAATCAATTCAACAAAATTCACTGTCAAAGTACACAACAGATCAAAAGAGTGAACATTAACTAAAGAATAAATATATATATATGTATATATGTGCATATGTAGAAAGGAAGAGAGAATTTGTGAGGTTAACTATTAGAAACTGTACAAAAAAAAGTAAACACATTTGAAGTGGAAATAAAGCCTTCCACGGTAACAACCCTGAAGTGCTTGAAGGATTGAGAATAAATGAAACAACGCTTGTTTGTTATCTACACAACAATAACATATGGAAGAGTAAGTGAAATAAACCTGAACAAAATAGTTATGAAGAAATACTACAACATAGAAGACATGGAAAGGCATTGTGAATTAAGGAATTACAATTTTAAAAAAGTACTGCCAATTTCTTTTTCTTTTAATTGTTAACTACAAGTATCTGAATCTAGATCTACAGTAGATTCTTTCAACTGATATATTGTCGATTCATTCGGTTGAATCTTCAACGATGAACAAGCGTCTGTAGATAATAACGGAATGTTTAATGAGCGTTCTAATGGATGTGATAAAACGCAACTCGTAGAATTTTGTTTTAAGGTACATATAGATAAACATTGGGCAATAATATGACTGGCATTGTTTGTTTTTAATCCTGTTTCGCTTGGTGTACAGCCAAATGCTATTTCTGATAAAAGTTGTGACTCTTTAAGTAACCACCTGGTAAAAAGAATGAACGAAAATTAAAATAAATAATTTATTAAAGCTTGTTAGAACTGTTCATTTTTGTATTGGTTGTCTGAATCTTCCCTTGACGTTTAGGACTGCAATTGATCAGTCCCTTGTTAGCATATGTGCCTCGATATCGCCATTAGGTTACAAGCAATATAAGTAGGATTGGGATGCAATTATATACAGCTGACGAGTCCTAAGTAGTACGAAACACACGTCCTCAATTCAAGCCACTATCAATCTGTGTTTATAATGGTTACAGCTATGTTTAACAGGCTATATTGGAATCGGACAAGAAACATGAGTCCTCATGCAAATCACAATGTCTACTGAGAAAAAAGAATCTTCGCGGTTAAAATACCTTCAGAGGTGTTCCGAATAGTCTCTGTGATTCCTTGTTCCATCTAAAGTATCGGGAAAGCCGACTGGCTGAATAAGCTTGTATATTCTCAAAGGTACACAGAGCAGAGTGGGGAACCGGAAACTCCTAAGGACAAATGTAAGGATTTGCTACTCGTTAAAGACGACTGATGGATGTTACATAAATACCTGAGATACACAAATCAGATCGATTTATCCACTCCATAGCATATGCAAAGATTTCACTTCAGGAAGGTGGCGAGGTCTACACTTCTGTAAATTATAATTCTTACTAAGTTTTCAGACGGCAGTTAGGAGCCACTCTCTGTGACATATGCGCCTTACGTGCACTCTTTGCAAGTATATACGCCACTTAGCGTTAATCCCAGATAGACAATCAAACGTTGCATGAAGACTTTAAATACATAGATCAGAGACCTATGAATTCCCAGGATAAAAGCATGGATGACGTCCCCGCAACCGTTTTTGTTTTTCGGCAAGCAGGTACACTTTAAACACACGCCTAGAAGACTCAGATAAAATCAATTTCTGTGTCTTAAAGAGCCTTCTCATTAATCCGCTACCATATGAACAGTGGGATGATCTGAATTTACGATACTGTTTGGTCAGACCGACCTCCTATAACGGTTCATAAGCCCCAAGACCTTTGAAGAAGCGCGGGACGTTATAGGTTGTATTTTCTCCACAGCCTCTGTAATAACATTTCTAAGGGTTCGAATTTCATGGCAAGAAACAATTAGTTCAAGATTTCACATAAACCTTCATGACGAGAGTCAACTCTTGCACGAAAACAAAGTTAACGATTTTTTGCCGCTCTAACCACTTAAAACAATCTTTAGTACGCTTGGAACAAGAATTACAAACTACTCCGCCAATACATCGTGTCTTAAAGACGATGTGAAGAAAAAAACAAGCAGATGAAGTTTAACATTTCATGAAGTAAATTCAAGAGCCTGAGATAAACAGTAGTTGATTTACAGGAATATACATAGTAGATTAATTCCGAAGAAGTGCGATCTCAACAAGTGTGATAACTACAGGGGCATAACTCTTCTCTCAATACCAGAAAACGTGTTCAACAGGGTATTGTTAAACAAAATAATAAACTGCGTAGACGCCCAACTTCGTGACCAACAGGCACGATTCCGTAAGGATAGATCGTGTACAGACCAAATCGCAACTCTACGGATCATTGTGGAACAGTCAATTGAATGGAATTCATCACTCTACATCAACTTCATTGACTACGAAAAGGCATTTGATAGCGTGGACAGAACAACACTATGGAAACTTCTTCGACACTACGGCGTGCCTCAGAAGATAGTCAATATCATACAGAGTTCATATGATGGATTACACTGAAAAATCGTGCATGCAGGACAGTTGACAAAGTCGTTCGAAATGAAGACCGGTGTTAGGCAAGGTTGCTTACTCTCACCCTTTCTCTTTCTCCTGGTGATTGACTGGATTATGAAAACGTCAACGTCTGAAGGGAAACACGGGATACAATGGACATCTAGGATGCAGTTGGACGATCTAGACTTCGCAGATGATCTGGCCCTTCTATCCCAAACGCAACAACAAATGCAGGAGAAGACAACTAGTGTAGCAGCAGCCTCAGCAGCAGTAGGTCTCAATATACACAAAGGGAAAAGCAAGATTCTCCAATACAACACAGCATGCACCAATCCAATCACAATTGACGGGGAGGCTTTGGAAGATGCAAAAACCTTTACATATCTGGGCAGCATCATTCATGAACACAGAGGATCTGATGCAGATGTGAGGGCTCGGGTCGGAAAAGCAAGAGCAGCATATTTACAACTGAGGAACATACGGAACTCAAAGCAACTGTCAACCAACACCAAGGTCAGGATTTTCAATACAAATGTCAAGACAGTTCTACTGTATGGGGCAGAAACCTGGAGAACTACGAAAGCCATCGTCCAGAAGATACAAATGTTTGTTAACAGTTGTCTATGAAAATACTCCGGATCCATTGGCCGGACACTATTAGCAACAACCTACTATGGGAGAGAACAAACCAGATTCCAGAGGAGGAAGAAATCAGGAAGAAGCGCTGGAAGTGGATAGGACACACATTGAGGAAAGCACTCAACTGCGTCACAAGACATGCCCTCACATGGAATCTTCAAGGCCAAATGAGAAGAGAAAGACCAAAGAACACATTACGCCGAGAAATGGAAATAGACATGAGAAAAATGAACAAGAATTGGATGGAACTAGAAAAGAAGGCCCAGGACAGAGTGGGTTGGAGAATGCTGGTCGGCGGCCTATGCTCCATTGGGAGTAACAGGTGTAAGTAGTAAGTAAGTAAAAAGGTATTATTTGTTTATAAGCATTTTCAGACGGAATAAAATATTTCAATATTGAACAGAATTGATAGGAAATAACAGTTCTGTAAACACGATTAAACTACTTGAAAGTAGTATCATTCACCTCATATAAATTAAAAGAACTTTATGAACAAAACCAAGTTTAACAGTAATTAGACGTACTGAAACTTAATTTTAACATAACGACTACAAATCGAGTTTTTTCCAGTTATATTATAAAATGATATCTTATTACCCAGAACTGATGTCTTAAAATTCTACGAGTAAAGCTTTGAACGAAATCATAAACAGGAAGGAACATCAACTTTGTGATCGATTCTGAGCCATGTCACCCAGAGTCTCCAACCATTGATTACGATAGTTGCGCGGACACCAAACAAGTAATCTGCATCAGAAGTTATTGACCTTACAGACTAATGCCACGTTTTGGCTGGTTTGGCCGCCCCTAACATTCTTCCAATCAACCCCAACACTAATCAGCATTGCACGTCGTGATAGGCAGTGTTCAGACATACGTAACAGGTGACTCAACCATCTCAGTCGATGAAGATTCACTACTTCATCAACTGATTTACTATCATTTCCTAATACCCTGCATTTAACCCCACTATTCCTTACCCGGTGATCCCAGCAGATGAGAGCAATATTTTTAAGACATCTGTGATCGAATACTAGCAACTCACGAGTATCTTCTACTCTTAATGGCTACGTTTCACAACCGTAGAGTAGAACAGAACGAACTGCTGCACAATATACTCATCCTTTTACTGGTATACGGATATCTGGCTTTCTCCATAGGTGACTTAAGTTGGAAAAAGCCAAACGAGCTTTTCGAATCCGTGCTGAGATTTCGCCAGACATCAACCCATTAGGGCTGACCAGACTTCCAAGACAAGTGAAGTTGTCAACGCGTTCGACTACTTCACTCCCTATCCTTAGTTCAGGTGTTGACGCAGACCAGTCCTGAAGCAAGAACTTCCATTTAGAAGGAGAGAAACGCATCCCAAACAACCTGGCATTGTTTCTCAGTGCTACCAAAATACTGGGTTTTATCAGCGTCTTCATCAAACAGGACTACATCATTTGCGTATTTTAAGTCGATAAGTGAACCTCCTGTAAGATCAATTTATGAAAATTCAGACGACGAGAACGTTATTTTCAGCAGTAGGTCGTTATAATGCTTCCGACTTAATGACGATATTGAGGCAATCTGTGCAGGATGCACATACACCAATGAGAGACTGATCAATATCGACCAGAAGATCTAAAAAACCAATATATATATATATATATATATATATATATATATATATATATATGGATTATAATAATTGTTCGAGTATTTTCGATAGACGAAATAATTTTGTTTAATGAGCTCTTTTCGAATGGAAGTATATTTACAATGAAATTTTAGTGCAGAGGTGTAACAGAATTAAAACGTCCGTTTACAAAATGACGATAGATTAAAGTAGGTTCAGCTGTCCTCAGAGTTGGAACATTGGAGACCAAGTATATTAAAATTCCCTAATTAATCTGCTCTGAGATCCCCCTTCAGAGGCACAAATTCGGTATAGGTAATAGGGTTTAAGGTTACTGTGTTCTTTATTTTTATGAAGAAGTTGCTACGGAATATCGTTCAGCTGAACTACATTGATAGATATGAACATTTCTATAACTACCTTTATATCCTTATGATTAGAACAGATGATCAATAATTTGGGAAAAGATCACGATTCATGAACCCTTAGTAAGCCAACAAAATATAGGGAATAAGCCAATACGGATTATGTATAGATTGCTTCCTAGATTCGAAGAATCGAATAAATGACGTTTTCCAAATGTGTAGAAGGTAACGCAAAAAGAAAGTTATTCTAAGATATCAACATAATTATTTTGAAGACATAAATCAATATAGTTTTAGAAAAGAAACCCACCTTCTCGCTTGATCAACATGTACTGCTAGGTTTTTTAATATAAGTGCGGAAGTTACTCGAAGATGTTTTGTTACTGGTCCTTCACGTGGTGGATTATTCATGCCTGAATGAACCAGTGGATTTATTGAGATATTTGAATGACAATTGGGATTTGTAAGTAGAAAATGATGTTGTGCAGCCAACAGCTCAGTTTGCATATTTTTAGCTTCAACAGAACGAATGATTCCCCATCCTGTACGATCACCAACTAAAGGATATTCTGGATGTGTATCTCCAATCGATGAATTAACATCAGAAAAATGTTCATTTCGAGTTCTGTAGTCAGTTTTAGACTTTGCATGATTTGATCTTCGTGCTTCTAATTCTCTTGGACTGCAATGCATATCAAGCACATGAGTCATTAAAGCGTACGGTGCTCGAGCCAGTGATGCTGACTGACAGCCTCGCCAACGACAGCAACGACGTACAAGTTGAACAGAACATTTATGATGTGATCCATCTACTTTCCAACTTTCCTTGCTAGGTAAGTGTGTACTGTAAACATGAAAGGCAACCTGTCAAAAAAAGATTGTGTAACATGATATATGATTACTGACGAATAAAATCAACATAGAACCTGGAATACATGTGTGTTGACCCGAATTATCATATCACATTGGCACTACATGAAAATAATAAGACTGGTAGCGAGAGATCTAAAAAATGTAGTAGCGATGATAATAAGACTATACAATGAGAATATGATTTGATAAGATAGAGTGGAAAGGTGAGTTTGGAGGGATACTTGAATTCAGTACTGAGGGGAAGTTGAGGGGATCTGTGACATTATGGATAGTTTTGACTAGTATCACCCAATATCCAGCCATTAATCTAGGTTATCGCGTAGACAAGGTAAGTCTAAATCTATTAGCATGTTTCAGACCGACAATCAATGACTTCAAAAACTAATTGCACAAGTTGGTTATATCGCTCCTGGCTTTCTTCCATGCCCCTTCTACACTAACAAGCATCACTTGTCGAGGTAGGTTGTAGTTAGGCATATTTAGCACATGTCCTAACTACCTTGGTCGATGAAGATCCACTATCTCAACAGCCAGTTTGCCACCTCTGGTAAGTACGCTGTCTTACCTTAATATTGCTAACTTAGTTATTCCATGAAACTCAAGCAATGCCTACGATCAAAGATCTACAACCCAAGCATGTTTTCTGCCCCCGAATGCCCTAGCAAGGCCAAGGGTGAGAAGAGTTAGCTCTTCCTCTCCAAATGCTCTCACATGACCACACGTACACAGCCACTTCCAGGAAAGTTCTACTCACTGCCTTTCGCGCGACGGGTGGTGTTTACGAAATTGAGAGGACGAAAGGCGAATGTCCGAGGGTTTAACCGGGTTGGTGGATAGGGGCGATCCATCTAAGAGAGTTCGAAAACCTTCATTCCAAACCAATCGTGCACATGGGCTCCAGGATCCTGAGGGGATAATTGTAGCATAAACCTATCGTTGGTCACCGGCTATCATGGGACTGCATCTCCTGACGTTGCTCCTCTGCCTTGTGGATCGGACCTTTAGGTCGAAGGCTCCGGGTGTGGCCCCCTAAGAAAACCACCTGCTTCGGTTTATATACTGACGCAAACCAGTCCTAGAACGAAATTTCGCATTTGGAAGAAGAGAAATGCAAGCGCTGTTGTTCAGAATTCTTTTCACATTAGACTATTACATCTAGATCCGTGAGTAATCTCCTAGTGGTAGATCAAGCCATGAATAGTTGACCGAAGAAAATGTTATTTCTAGGAGGATATCGATAACAAAATTAAATAGAAACTGAGATAGTAGGGAGACCTGACGAACGTCACTGAGGTACAAGAGTAGAAGAAGAGGCTACCTGACTTGCAATCACAAAGAGTTGTGACATAGTAAAAATATGACTCCATATATTTTTAACCAACTTAAAATTATGATGTAAGGAAAAATTGTAAAGAGAATTGTACTGGTTCAACAAATTAGAATAAAATGTCTAATAGACTTATTTAAACTATGGTCTATAAAAGGAATCATAAAATCTGAAGTGTAGAGATTTTTAACTCATCAACCAACAGATTAAAATATTAATTTATAATTTAGCCACCACTTTTCTATTCAAGCATCAGAAGTGCTTTTTCACAATTCTATTTAGTGTAAACTACCTAAAAAGCTTCCAAGCTCCAAAAAGAAATATTTCGAAAAAAAACCCAAACATTAATAGAAAGTAATCAGACCCACCTGATGTTTCAATTCAAATGTAGCTGTACAACACTCCCATTCACATAAATACAATACTGGTTTTTCTGTGTTAACTGTTTTAGATGGATCCTCTGAACATGTGAGACTAGCATTGTAAAGTGTATTGCCAGATTCTGAATTGCGTTCTGATGACTCACTGGTCACGGAAACATCACAATCAAGCTTGTTTGATTTGTCCATGACATCTTTTGAAATAGATGAATTTTCGTTAACATTGCTTGAGGGGGGTTCGACTATCGCCTTACTACTACTACTACTGCTAGTACTGGTGTCTGGAGGGGATTCAACTGATACTGGATCGGTAGGTTGTTTCCAAGTAGGATCCAGAACAGAACCAGGTACAAGATTAAACGTTAATGGAACATGCAAAGTGGGTGACGAGTCAATATGTTTAGACATCAGATCACGTCGACGCTTGGGTGTGAACAATCGATTTTTTGAACCCCATTTTCGTCGACGCTTCAAGAATCTATGAGAATGTACACTGCGAAACCGGAAATTTGAATTTTTCTCCAGTTCATCAGTTTTTTTATTATTGACATCATTATTGACGTTACCATTTCCACTAGAAGCAATATACAATGGATTATTTTCACATAGTGAATTGTTATCTTTTTCATTTTCATGAATCTTATCCTTTAAATATCCATTGCTTAAAGAAACCTTGCTCGATTTTTTATTTGAATTCTCACATATATCAAAAGGCGTTGATTTACCATTATTCGAGTTAGTATCCATATTTGAATTATCCTGTGAGTGTTGATATTAAATTAAGTAAAAGAGAATAAGGAAACTGATATGATACAAATATATATACATATATTTAAAAAAAAAATTGATACAGAATTTTAGACACATTTTGACGAAGATCAGACAAATTTACCAGTATCCTATACTAATAACTATGTACTGTTTATATAACCAAATTGTGATTTCTAATGTATGTAAGAGACTAACATATTTCTTCAAAATCATGCATATAAAGTTCTTCTGTTGTTTTGAAGGTGAATAGAAGCCTGTGACAGGAAGTTCTGGAACTAAGCAGGGCACTAGTTGATATTCGTCAAGTAAGGTCACAATACATGCAACGTTGGGTAATTTAGAATAGTGATCACAATGTAGCTTAATCGCAAAAACTCGATGAGTACTACGAATGAAACAAACAAAATTTCCGTTACACTACGTGTTAATACAAATCCTGTCTTCATTGCTAAGTCAATGTTACGAGAGATGATACGCAACTCGGTGACTATGAGTTAACGTGACTTGGAAACCAGGATATACGGACAAAAGGGACGAAATTTTATTTCCGCTTAAAACTTGGAAGATTCAGTCCACAAATTGATCGCGTAGTTTACTGGTCGAAAGTCGAATGACCAAATTCAATAGGTAACAACCGAATCCGATGATTACAAGAAGAATAAGTTAAAACCTTTAACATTTAAACAGCCCATAATTTCAATTCTACAGATTAAACACCTTCCAACTGTCGTTTGCATAAACATAAATATATATTAGAGGATTATAACTATCTTGCCCCCAAATGCCCTGGTACAACCGAGAGTGGGGAGAGTCCGCTCTCCCTCTCGAAATACTCTCACATGGCCACGCGTATATAGCCTCTGCCATGGAAGTCCTACTCACTGCCTTCTCGTGGCGGGGGTGTTGTTTACAAAAATGAGAGGACGAAAAGCGAATGTCCGGTGCTTAAACCGGATTCCAAACCAATGGTGCACATGGGCTCCAGTATCCTGCGGGAACAAATGGCGTATGAACCAATTGTTGGTCACCGGCTTCCATGGGACTGCATCTCCTTACGATGCTCCACTGCCTTGTGGATCAGACCTTTAGGTCGAAGGCTCGGGGAGTGGCCCCCTAAGAAAACCCCCTGCTTCGGTTTGGGCATCCAGGCAGTATCATAGCCCTCACACATATCGAATGAGATTTGTGCGGCGCATATGTATTTGGTGTCTCCTTGTACCAATGTCTATGTGTTAAAATAAATAAATAAATAATAATAACTATCTTAGTCATTCCAAATATGAAACTAACAGCCCAATAAGTAAAGAAAGGTAAAACAAGAAAATAAAATTAGGATATAAACCATGAACACAGCGATAAAAGAGAACTACCTACCCATACGTTGATTTTACAATGTGATATGACATGGAAAAGTTTTAACTAATTGGACAGTGCGTAACCTACATAAGTAATAGCTTTCAATCCCACACAATACTCAATTATGTCCATTTTTCTGTTAATATTCTGTACATAAGCATATCACTTTGATAAATAAAAAATCTATTCTTTTGGTTGGTGATCTTGTCTTCTAATATCAGTTTATTATGAGGGCTTACATCAGTAATTCACTTTTGTTAACAGATATTGTGGTATGTGCTACTGATATCGACAGATATAGGTAGTATGTATCGCTAACTGAAATTGGAATGACTGGTAGCAGAAGGTTGAGAAAATCGAAGAGAACGAGAACGAAAACACAGAGTGATTGGTATGAAAATGAAGGAATAAGCAAGTCTGGGACAATTGATGGATATTTTGCAAATGAAGTATTTATTGTATGGTTCTCAGATTTTACTAAAAGATTCAGCGAGACTATAATTTATGGACTAACCAATCACGTATAAGATAACAGGTCTCGGATTTTGGCGTGACATTCATTCATTTATTTGGCTAAATAGTGTTTTGACATTATAGTTGATGTCAGTTCGTGATGACAACATTAAATCTAATTCCTAACTTTACCCATCGAATGTGAATCATAATCCTTATTCTTCAAACTGCTTTATAATCTTCATTTGGTCCTAGTTATTAGGTGGGCACTCTCAAGGTCATTTTAGCATCGCTCAAAGGTCGACCATAAATTATAGTCTCACCAGAGATTCTGTATTTTTGTATCCATATACATTTGGTTGTCCCCACCATGTTCTCGTTTACTACAATATCAGCCGGTCACTTCCGATTAGTGCGTATCATCTAATGATAAGTAGTCTTTTCTTTCATTTTACCAATTAAAAATTCATCCATCTAATCTCACTTTATAATAGTGGTGATTGGATAAAAATCAACTTTTATAAATATCAATTACATTGGATGAGTGAAAATCGTTATGCATTCAGCTAGTACAGTCCAACTCCATAAAATACCAATTTCTATAACAATGCTCACGTAATGACATGTAGATTGATTACTGTTTAGTACTCACATATATATAAGACGAATTAGAATTCTATATATTTCAATGAAAAGTTTTACAAGACCATAATGAAAATATAGACTGGCTTAAACTACTTGTGTCATTGATTTGTTGAATAATCAAAGTTTACAATGAATAATTCAACCCATAAATTTACTAGAAACCAAACCAAAACGTGGCATCAGTCTGTAAAGTCACTAACTTCTAGTCTGAGCCATGTTGGTAGATGTAGACTACTTGGTTGGTGTCCGCGTGACTATCGTAACCAATGGTTGGAGACTCTTGGTGACATTGCTCAGAATCGATCACAATGGCGTCGGTGTATACACTCTGTCTTCCTTTATACTAATCGCTTCATATCTTTCTTTCCACGAACTAATTCTTTCTTCCTGTACTATGTTCTTATATGCAATCTTTCTTATATATATATATATATATATATATATATATATATATATATATATATATATATATATATATATATATATATATATATATATATATATATATATATATATATATATATATATATTACCACCACTGAATTAACTAATCCTATGAATCCGGTGTTCATCTTGCTGTGCTAATGCAGTATGGCAACTTGGACCGATGTATATGTGTGCGTGGTCCTTCTTTGTAGCTGACTGGCTGACTAGAAACTAGTCTACGAAGACAATTATTTTCTTCGCTTATTTGTAATTTTCCAATATTTGCTGGAAATAGTGAATGATGTCGATGGAAAAGGCTTATTAGAGAGCATACAGAATTTTACGCATATTTTCTCGTCTTCATAACCATTAGGAAAACAAAATCCTACCTCGTACTTATACATACATAAGTGAGGTGTTTATGGGAAAATTTAATTAATCTTTTGATGATAGATGGTCGAAAGCAGTCGGCAGGAAAAATAATCAAATCCAGTGATGGTATCTAACACTAATATTTACTTTCGAAATGATCCATAACCATAGAACAGATAGTGAAGTGATAGTTTGACAATTGAACCAACCGACATTCTGCCACTAAGTTTCAGGTTTAGATTATGCTTTACTTATTTCGGCTTGGGTACACAAGTTGTACAACTACCGTAATTCAAAGTAGTGTAGATAATACATTAGTCACACTATTATCCTATTCATTTATTCGATGAATGAAACAAAGACCGATCAGTTGAACGAGCGCAGTACGTGAAGGATAATACAAGTAAAATTAACACTTAGAGAGAGACGACAGACACATGCAAATGATGTAACTTGAACAAATTGATAATAAATTGGGTTGAAAAATGTAGAAGCATAAAACAATGCATAAATAAAAAGAAACAAACTCCGAGAAATGAAATGAGAATTTTGAAAATAACGAACTAATAATAACTGCCTACAAACCACCACAGCAATAGTTGTCATCAATACTATGCTCCCTGAATACATATCCAACATAAGAACTGACTTTACCAAACCAATCTGGAGTTTTTATTGATCTCAGGTAGAACGTCAAGTCGAAATGATGTTTCTTACACAAACATGCTAATTTAGTCGTTGATAAAAATTTTCAATAAAGTAGATACAAGACAAGAATAATAACACACTCACTTTTGTACTTAAGATTAGTTCACGCTTCGTCTCTAATACACCATTGACACATTTGATAGTTGATTTACACTGTTCAGAAGTTTGCTTTAATTTTCTGTCTTGAATAGCTAAAACAGCTTCTTGTAAAATACCAGTTCGAAGACCATTCGTATGAAAAGTATTAACTGGACTTTTCAATTCACCATCCATGATAGGATCAATAGTTTTTTCACCATTAACAATAGGCTTGATTTCATTGTCATCTAGCTCGTCCTTATTATTACTATTATTATTGGTTTTCTTGTTACAAGTATCATAATTTACAATTGGCTTCAAATGAGGTAGTAAATTACGAGAATTATTTATTTGATTTAAAGATTCATCGGGTAAAGTTTCTGAACAAACTTCATGTTTCTCAGTTTGTTGAATTTCCCTGGGATTTATAGATACCCCTAAAGGAACTGAGTCTCCTGTAAAGGCAAAATAAGACCATCTATTATCATAATATAATGATACCCATAAAACATTAAAAATAAAATATTATTTTGGAATGACGACCAAAATAAGGGCTGAGTCAAGATCAAACTTCATTGGTTTATAAGTGACCTATTAAGTCATCATCCTCCATTCACTTCTATTTTTAATTGCTTGTTTCTTTTAATATTTCTTATTTGAGCACGTCACTTGGTTTTAAGAAAAAATTTAATCTTCTAGCAAGATGTATTGGTCTTCAGATATCGATTTTATTTGGAGGTATACGTTAATAATTTGATTTTGTGAGAAGTTAACAATCAATTATAAAGTAAGACTGCTAAAATCACCAGTCGGGAATCGATTATTCGTAAATTTCATAATGCATTACCCACTAAATCTTTACACCCATTATGCAGTATAGCGAGATAAGTGATCGTTAGACTGACGTAGCCTTTAATAGTCTATTGAAATTTATTTAGTTCAACCCCAGAAATTTTGTAACATGTGTGACTGATAGTTAGATCAAATTACTCAAGTCTTACTCCTCCTTCAATGAATTTGTGCTTGTCAACACTTAAAAGAAACTAAAACGTATGTACATACAATGGATAAATCGATCTCTATTAATCCCTATATGATGAAAAAGACAAATACCCAATAACAATTCAGCATACTACGTCAGTGGACAAAATAAAATAATTTCGCTAACTAACTACTTATATCAGAAACAAAAAACCAACTGCTTAATCGGCAGTTGATTAACAATACACAAGTGATCATTTATATCATATTAGATTGTCTTATTGATGGATTCGCTATAGTATCAGTGTCATTGTTTTGGATGATACATAAGATAAGTGTATAAACTAAAATTTACCTTGAGGTTGGGATCTTAGATTGCACGAATTTGCAAGCAGCAAAGATGTTGGACTAATTCGATCTGTTACAGTCATGTTTCCTGATGAGTGATTAGTTCTACAAGGAGAAGAAATATTCACTTTTACTGCATCAGCCGCTTGAGTAGGAGATGAAATTAGGCTTGTCCGTGAATGAGTCCGTTTTATGGAACGTCGCATTGCAGATGGCGGTGGTAAGGAAGGTGGTGGCATTTGAAGTCTATCCGTCAGTTCAGATAGACTAGGTGTAACCACTTTTGGTGAATTAGGAGAAGTAGAATTGATAACTGGCATATTAATATTAGGTGATGATGAGGCAGGTGGCGCTGAAGATAGTAAGTTGATAAGACCAGAGCAAGCAGTACTTCCGCTTTGAGGTCTGTACACTGGATGTGATATACAAGTAGATGTTGGTGAAATTGGGGATTGTTTTAAATGAGTACTAGATTCGAACTTCAAATTACGGAAGGATGAAGTAGAAGAGTTATGAATATTATTATTATCAAAAGAATCAGAAGGAACTGTATGTACTACAGGAAGTTTTGGGCGTAAATATGACTTAAACACTTGCCCATTAGTGTAGGCTGGCGCATCCCTGGATCGATTGAGCTCATTCACATTAGGAGACAGACGACTAAGAGCAGGAATTCGTAGACCGGTCCCATGAGGAAGTTGTGGTTGAACGTTTTGAGCTTGTGGAGTACGGGGTAAAAGCTATAAATAGGTTTAAAAAACAGTAAAATTACATGCACTGAATAGAAATACTTCAGTTTTCGAATAGAACTGTATAAAAAGAGAGTATAAATTAACAATACAGTTGCATCAAGTCGAATAATTTTGATAATTTCCCTAGGTACTTAATTACTTTATATTCAAGGAAATAAACAAGGAGTACTTATATCAAACATTTTAACCATATGAGAATATTTTTTATATGTATGAAGTCAAAGTATTAAGATACACAAATCAGTTTAAAAGTTTTATTCCATGAATATGTAACTCACTCTAATGCGATGAAGCGATTGAGAACCCATCGCCTGGCCTTCTAATGTAAGTAATGCTAACAAGGGTTGGAGTAAAATAAAAGGAATGTTTTCTTGATCGAATGAATTTACATTTAAGCAACAGGACTCCCAGCAAGTTAAACACATCGTTGCATCCAGATTTGTTAAGCACCGAAGAGCCTCTAAAGTAGCACACACAACTGCCAGATCTGGTAAGCATAACAACTGGGCAAGTCTGGGCCAAACAGTTTGAGGTAGACCGACAAGAAGACTAGATAAATTCATTTTTTTCACGAACTTTCGTTAGATTAGCCAGAAACATCAAACCTAGAATGTTAATAAGAAAAGGCAAATGAATGATAAGAGGTCTTAAAACAACTAATATGCAGTACATACTTAAGATTTGAAAAGATTAAGATAAGAAAATCTCACCTGCAATTAAATCACATCGATCATTACTTTCCAGAATACATCGAGTTAGAAATGCTAAGGTTAGCTGGCCAAGACGACAACCGTTATCAATTAAAGGTGTCCAATATTCTGGGCAATCGAGTGGGAGTGACAAACTAGGTGGATCTAGGGGATAGCGTATGCTTGAAAGTAGTTGTAGCCCCAAGGATCTCAATCCTGAGTGATGTGCATAAGCACAAAGAAATATAAAACGAAGTGCATTTGGACTTCCTGCAATAACACGTGCATTCTCTCGCCAAGTTACAAGAGGCAAGCCATTGGGAAAAGGTTGCAAGGTATGATAGGTCCAAAATCTAGTTCGTCATCATCATCTTCGACTACTGACGCATAGGCAACAGGTGGTGGAGTCACCAGGTTAACAAGAATAGTGGCGATCAACAAAACACGGGAACCTTCAAAACCTTCCATTGGCCAATGGGTTCCAAAATACTGATTGGAATACGGAGTAAAAAGCTCATGCATAACCTTTTCTTCATTTGTGCCAATTTCATCGATAGTGTATTCTGAAAAGGATGACATGAAACAGAGCTATATAGTGTTGTACTGAATAAAAAAATGGGTCATTTTATCACCGTATCATAAAACCATTTACAAATTATGGGAAACAGGAAGCGATACAACAATCTGGTCAAACGACTGAAGCTAGAGAACTGTATCACTATATTCAATGGTTATTTAGATGAAATCGTTTCATGATGCAAACTGATATTCAAAGTGTTTTTCCCTGTCTAGTTTAATGTACCACAAGCCTATTAATCAAAATTTACCTTGAATTTGATTCTAAACACATCTTTTTAACTTCTGATTAGGTTCGAATTTCCTAACATTCAGGTAAATGTTAATCAAAATTTGCCTGCACATTTTAATGCTGTTTTTATCTAATCCTTTATTGACGGTCGAATTCCATTGATCAATCTGTAATATGGTCGCCAGTTTGAATGACTCGATATCGAGTTTATTATACTCTCTATTTCAGATGGTTTATTTATAAAATACACATCAATTCTGGCACAAGTAAACACCTAAATATATATGCCACACAAATAAATGTAAGTTAAATCTGCGTTTGTAGTTCTACTGCATATGCCACCCACACTCTACAGTACCATAACAGCCACGAGATGTTTAGTTTTACTAGATGCTAACTTCATTAGATGTGTTGGTTTGACATGTTTTAACTTCAACTGGTACACATTCAGGCCAGGGTCCTACACTATTTATGACTAACTGACTAGCTATTATAGTACAATCTATGGTCAAGATGCTCAACTTGGCCTATCCGATTGGTAACTTCGAAAACGGACACAATCGGTAAGACACCAATAAGTAACAGAAAACTTAGCACTACATGTAAGTAGGTCCAATTTGATACACTACATCAGAACGGCACTAACTAACCTAAATAAATAAGATGCAGAATTTGAACATTATGGGCTGGTCAAATCTCCACAATCCTACAATCTGGAAGCACTCCAACCTAACCTTAACTTTGAAAAGGCTAACAGTTAAACTTAATGAAACATGTGATTTCGTGTAATATAGTAAATATGTATAGATTTTGTTTACTGGATTATGTAATAACGACTATACAGAATCACTTCCATCATATTGACTAGCAAATAAAGTAAATCCCAACTATTAACAACAAACATATAAGTATACTAGGTGGTGATCTAGATTTATATTTTACACTGGTAATGGTACAACCTAAGTGAATATAATTTTATTTCCTGTATATTGTATCTAAACTATTGAGATTCAACCACAGACTGTTAAGATATAGATAGTAGATGGACTTAAACCGTAACTTTTTTAAAGTTCTTGAATTATCTTGTTAATTCTTCTACATGACCTACATAAACAAAATCTTATTAATATTAGTTAAATAAATGCAACTACATTGAATGTAGTGATTTTTCTCTATTCGAAGCACTTTAAATAATCCCGATGAAATAATAATAATAATAATAATAATAATAATAATAATAATAATAATAATACAGATTTTGCACTTGTAAGAAGAAGAAAACAAAAGATAACTTTATGATGATGATGATGGTGACCCTGTCGAACATTAATACTATAATAATACACTTAAAAATGATTGGTTTAGTAAACCATGTGACTAGATTTTTACAAACTTAAAATACAATCAAAATCTCTATAATATTTCAAGGTGAATTGTATAGATATTTATATAGAGAATATCAGAACGAAGAAAGAAAAATATGACAGAAATAATTAATGATTGATCTACAATATATATATATATATATATATATATATATATATATATATATATATATATATATATATATATATATATATATATATATATATATATATATATATATATATATATATAAATGGGATTCACTTACCAGTATTAATGAAGACATCAGGACGGAGGAATATACGTCCAGACGGTTCACGAACAACACTGTACCAAAACTTTCAATGAAAGAAAAAAATAGAAATCAAAATATCAAGTTATTTTATCAATAAAATGTTATGTCCCGATAAGCATAATGAATGATAACTTTCGGGATCCATTTATGGACCAATACTATACGTAAATTTTTATCGTATCATTGTTAAATAACTAAACTATACATATTCATATCCCTATTATTATGAGCTTTATTTTGATCTATGAACTATTATTATACGATTTACCATTCTTGAGTTATACCCAGTTCATTAATTACTATCTCCCACATTCACAGCAACTTTTGGCTAAATCTTGTACAGATGTTGTTTCTTATTTTATGGTATGATGTGGTCTGTCTGGTTGGTATATAAACCTAGTATGTTTTAAATAAATGATTCATATTGCAGAGGCTAAGATTGGTGTTCTGGACTTAACTGGCTGGGCTAGGCTAGATGGGAAGCACGACCGATAAGTACTCCAGACTGCTCGCATGGGTTTTATGCGTCATTGGTCCGATCGATAATTCACTGTTCTGTAATTGGCGTTATCATTATGTTATACATTAGCCACAAGTTATGATATAAAAAATATTTTTTTAAGTCTTCCTAAATAAAATGAAGAATTGGATGTTACATTACTTAATGAACAAACCAATTGATAACTAACTAAACAAATATTAGAAATCATGCATAACAGTGTAAAAGGAAAATATCCCAGTAAATTCTTAACAATATTCTTCATTATTTTGAAATTATGTACAAACAATGTGTCATACATAATACTCCATGGATGCATTCACTTTTATCTTCCTTCTTGATCTTGAGTCTCAGTATCCTTTAATACATGAATTTTCAATCCATCTTTTTAAATATAACCAAGGTTCAGATGTTCTTTTCATCAGTGCTACTATGTTATTTAAGTTTATTCACATTATTTCCAGCCCATGTTATAGTAACTTGGGATAACGCACATTTATCCCAGGCTCTATGTTGATGTCTGTTTAACATCATTTGTCAAACAATATCAATAAAACACAAATCTTACATTTAGTTTAAATACCCTAGTACAGGAAAATAATTGCCCTATCGAAGGAATTTCACTTTTACGAAGGTAGCAGATAAGGTCTTGCGGAAGAATGATCACATACAAAATGTTCTAAAATACTCAACACTTTTCATATTAGCTGTGTTAGTTTTGGAACTTTATTCTGTTACAGTTTACGACGAATTAACATCACTCAGTAACCTAATGCGAATATGAAACAAAATATTTGAGTATAGATTAGATCAACTACTCATGAAAAACGTATAGTTGATTGATACTTTCCTTTGAGTGGTTGGGGAATTAAGCTTAACCAATAGCCGTCCCGGGTATAGTACATTGTTTTATAACCGGTTTTTGGGTAATATTACTAGTATTAAGTTAACGAATCAACTATATGCTTTATAAAGCAGTCAAGATGAGTTTAATATCCTTGATAGTATAAGCACTGAACAAAGGAGGTTTATAATAAAAAGGAGATATGGTTCTAGCCCAAAAGCAGAAATTTAAAACTTGAAACAAACTATACAAACAGAACTGCGTAATCACAACCAGATGTAGACATAATCCTATGGGTCACGACTATCACGAGAGCAATAACGATTTCATCTCGGTACGGAAAGTGATTACTGTCAATAATTCTCACAGTATTTGTATAACGGTTTAGTTACGAGAGGATGGCGATATTTTTTCTTATTTTAATCCAGGACATTTTAACATGTACGAGGTATATCACGCTTTCAACATTTCCAATGTAATAAGCAATGGTATAATCAATTTTTTTCATATACCCGTTTCAAATGAAACCATTATTTGAAAAACTGGTCGTTAAATGAATATTATTTAAGTCGTTTCAGGAACATCCACCTAGATTTTTACCATTAGTTCATATTATACAATAGATACGAATGTAAATAATCACTTGTCACTATCGACTTCTAAACTTCCAACTAATAAGTGACGGGTTTTAACCCTATCCCACGCACTTCGGTTTGAGCAACAAGGTAGCATCATTAACCTTTATAACTAATGTGTAACGTGAAATCAAATACATAGTTCCGTAACTGGTTAGTTGATAAGAAAATGTATTACACGTTAAAGAAAACACAGTACAGACAAATAGTCGCTAAATTTTTCTAGCGAGAATCAATGAAACATACTTTGAGAAAGTTGAGTTGATTCTGTCGTCCCCAAGTTTCATCACAGGAGATGTAGGACCCAAAATCTAGAATGAAATTTGTTAATGCATTTAGTATAGCATTAAATTAATAATATCCAAACTAGATAAGACTTGACAATAAAAATACACATGCTATAACAAAAATGAAAATTAACTAGAGGTTTCCTAAGAATCTCAATGAGTCAGTAGTCAAAAGCGACGAAGAACCTGATACAAATGGGAATCGGCTTGAGTGACTACATCATGTCAGCAAGGTGAGATGAAATCACGAAGATGAATACTATGATAGTAGTAGAAGTACCAGTAATAAAAAATATTGGGCATAGAAAATATGATTCAATAGGAAAGAACGAACTGATGGAATGTAGAGCATAGAATGATTTTAAAATTAAGGATGTAAGGGAGAAGAATGATTGAATGGATCGGCGCAGCTTTCAACGATTTTAACATTTCAGTCGAAGTCTCTAACGACTGAAGATAATCACGCGAACTTGAACCGGTCAGTCTGTACCAACCAACATAGTTAAAATCGACACTCGACTATCTCATGGAATAATTCCATATCTTTGGTGGGCCACTCCTAGATTTCATACATACTCTTAAGACAGTCAGGTCTCAGACATGAGGTAAAACAGAGCGAACTGCTGCACAATATCATCTTTTTGGTGGTGGACGGATATCTTACCTAAATCAAAGGTGACTAGGTTTGATGAACACTTTTGAACAAATGAAGAGGTTTCGTGAGACACTAATCAACCACGGCTAATGAGACCTCATATCCAAATGAAGTGATCGATGCACTCAACATTTTGTATTAAGAGGGAGAGAGGTGCATCCAAAAAAATGATTGGATTGTTCCTGAAGACAATCAGAAGACTGTATTTTCTCAGTCTTCAACAGACAGAATGATTTCATATGAGCACTTAAGGTCGAAAAATGGATCTGTTTGTAGATCAATCCCTGAGGAGTTAGACGAAGCACCTAAGTCTGAAAATAGACGTCCAGTCTGCTGTAGACAAACTCCAGATAGACCATAGATGATTACTGAAGCTAATATTTTAGATCCTATATTAGAACATATACCTTTGTGGCAATGAAAACAGGATTTTTGTTCTTTCTTATATAATGGGAAGATTAGTGACCAAGGGCAGTCAGATGAGATGAGACGTTTTTTGCAACTGCAAATTCAGTAGAAGTTACAGACTCACTGGCTTTCCCAACCTCTGTTTTTTCAGCAAGTTTGATATCATGTTAAGCCATATCATCGTGAGCACAAATTTTATGATCTATTCCTTTGGTTGTTCTTAAAACATACCCTTAATATTTCCTTCTGAGATTAACTTTAATGGTGTAGTCATATGCATACATGTATTTGCAGGAAAGTTTGAAAAAATATGATTACATGCAACTCAGTTAAAGTTCATATTTCACTGAGATGACAACCGACAAAATATTATTAGTTATACCTAAGGTTACACATAATTTCTTTGAGACTGTTGATGCACTATTTGCTTACACTACAGAGAAAATGGAACTTCCCTATAAATGTAAATAACAATGAATGATTTTCGCTTACCTTCTCCATATATTCCAACAGATGCTACGAGAAGAGAAAGTAAGTTTGTGCAATGAGCAAGCCTAACACTAGTTGATGAACCAGATGATGGAGTTATAGATAAAACAAGAAGGGAGTTTAAAGCAACTTCTATTTCATTTGGTAGACCTGAACACAATGCTGATTCCACTAAACGCAGTTGTGAGGGTTCAAATACATCAGGAAATTCATCTGCATTTGGATTGGCGTCAAATATATCATTATCTTGACTGGTTCTCAGAATCTCTTTATTAATATAATTATAATCCTGTAAACAAATGAAAAAGTCACTTATCAATTTGAAGCGAAAACAGGCTATCTGTTTAGGAACAGACGGAAATTCCACTCAGTTAAACCAGTGAGCAATTGCTTTAAAATATGTTTACGACAACAGACAGTAAATGCATGTAGCGAAGGTTAAGGAAAGTACTTTGCGGATCTATTTTTACTGACATAGGAGGAAATCATATAAATCAGCCTGTTGTTACCACGCATTTGGAGATAGTTAAACCCATGTAGTATTATGTAACTATCTAACTTTAGATTTACGCTTTCTCAGAGCAATAAGGGTCTGCTTACTGAGCAATAGTCCGCTCTGTATTATTTTATGGTTGTGAAAAACGGTCTACGGAAATAGAAAAGACGTTAGGGTTGCACGTTGTTGACCCTAGGTACATGTGAAACGCTGCTCGTGTTTTGTGGAACGACTGAGTGATTAAGGATAGTGACCGACAAAAGTGGAGAGTCGGTTGACGAGCTTCTGAATTGAGGTGGTTAGGACGAATGTCTTCTGGCGTAAAAGCAGGCTGAAAGCTAGAAGCGACGAGACCAACATGGTGTCCGTTCATTAAGTCACTGACTAGTGGTCTGACTAATGATGATCGGTCGGGGTCCGCGAGGAAATCGCGATTAGCGGCTGGGAAACTTGGTTCAGAATCGTTTATAGGGTGACCAAGGGGTATAAATGACCAGACAACTCAGCTTTCAAGTTATTCTTGGAATCACATCAGGAATCATTACATAAATCAACTAGCAAGTATTTTTAAAATATCCAACTGTCAACAAAGTTGTCAATGTTTCCATTGGCAAGGTACTTCCCTTGATATAGAAACACTACTGGTCCGAACTATTTAGTAATAACCAATATAATAGATTCAAGACCATTTCAAGGAAGTCGTACAATACAAATATTATCCCTGAAATATACATTCTGGTAAACATACATATAGCAAGTTGCTATTGGTTATTTTTGTTACAAATCGTTTGCTAAATCAAATAAAACTCCAGTGAATGCACTTAGGTGGTGAGATCTTAGTAGCTAACCGCATGTAACTTACTAAGTGATAAACTAGAAGCACTTATTAGTTTACTTTTAAAACCCAGACGTAGTCTGGTTGCTACTACCAACGGTAGTAGGATGTTACACAGTTATTATGTAAGGGTGATGGAATAAAGCCAATGTCATCATTCTAAATGTATATAAAAGTCTTAAGGTATAATTTTATTTATTTGAACAAAAACACTGATAAAAGGGGGCATCGAATACATATGCGCCACACAGTAGCAGTCAACACTGGTTTGTGTGAGGGCTGTGATGCTGCCCTGGTGCCCAAACCGAAGCAGGTAAGATGTAAGAGATTAACAGATAGAACCAAATGTTGAAAACTGACATATTAAACAAAGTGAACTTGCCTGAAACAAGGGAAACAAACGAGACCGGTGGGAGTGATCAAATAGATCGACCGCTGACTGGACGGAAGTCATATGAGCATGATTACACGATGTCCCAATCCCGAGATTCCGCTCTACGGAAGAAAGCGGTAAAGTGACGTCTTCAGGAGTGACATCTGGTTCGACAAGTGTTTGAACCAAAAACTGTTCAGAGAGAGAAGGGTATTCTTTGAATTCAAAATGACTTAGGAATTGGTAATAGATTCTTCTCAGTCCAACACTTGCATTGGCACATTCACTAGGTAGCTTTAATTCCCGAGCTACTTCTAACCAACATCTATGATCGCACACTCTTTTATAACCCCCGCGAGATACTACAGCCACAAACAAATCACTGAGCTTGATTGGCTTTCCTAAAAGTCTTGGTAACCGACGATGGTATTGCCTAGCAATAAAACTATGGTAAAAGGAATTACCTTTGGATTCGCTTAAGCAGACGTCTATTATTTGAAACTTCCCGTCTAAGCGTCCTGTTGGTTTGTGAAGTCAAGGTTGGACAACTGGAGGAACGTTTATATTTATTCATATTATTTGTATTAAAGAAGTAAGATGAGTCTCGTAAGCACCGTGGAATGAAGAAATGACAGATCTGGAGATGCGTCCCAAAACCATGGAACCTAAGTTCTGAGGCATCATGAAGCCTTACAAATTAATTAAACAGTTAGACTTACACAAAAAACCAAATTTCAGTTCATGACCGGTTAAGGAAAAACCCGGGTCAAATAACCGACTTGATTAACACATTCATGCATTAAAACAAGAAAATCACGCGAATGGATTTCAAAAACTTTCACCTTTTCTTGAATTGTTTACTTGTCATCTGTTTTTGAATAGGCAAACATTTTTAAAAAACACTTCACAGTGCTTCCGTATGAAGCTCAACTGGCCAAGCTGAACCTTTTCTCGTTGTCATATCGCAGAACTAGAGGCGACTTGATTACAATTTTCAAATTGCTTAGTGCCAAATTTGCACCTGACATGCCCTCATTTTTCTTGTCTTCAAAAACAGAGAATTTACGAGGACACTCCAAAAAAGTTCACAAGCCAAGAACAAATTACTTGTCAGCTGACTATCGACTTTCCCATCGAATCATCAACGAGTGGAATTCATTACCTCAGCACGTGGTTGAGGTTCCATCCGTCGACTGTTTCAAAAGAAAGCTGGATCAATTGAGAGACCACCACTGCCAGGACTAACACAAGTCATTAAGCCTCCTGTCCTTCCCAAACTGAAACGGAAACTGTAAACCAGTAAAATAACTATAAATTCATGCTTACCGTTTGAAGATGGCACAGGCATTCAGTGTTTGACAACGCTTTTACCGGCAACACCTTCTTATATAATTCGTACCCACCAAGAGAAATCAAAAGACAGAGTCGAGGAGATCGGAAGAGTGTATTTGGCGATAACCAATATATCGGAATTCTCCGATCTAATCTGGCTAGCGATTGCGGTAGATGTTGAGCACAGCGTTACACGCTATTTCAGAGACTATGAAAATGGAGAGTAATGGATTTTTTTAGGCATAATAAATCACCACCAACTGATTGTAGTATTGCACCTACTACATATTTTTGGGTTTGTTCTGTCACTACAGTTACTATCACAGCAAAGAGTTTAGCGATGCGATGGACTTTTTTATCTCATAGCATATGTATCTCTAATTAACGTACTATATGTTGTCACTAGGTTTCTCTCTATCTTGCTCTGTGGACTGCCCAAACCGCGTCTGATATACGCTTAAAGACTAGTTTGGACAGAATTTTTCTACGACCTCTATGACATTATCTGTGAAAACGAGTAAGAAGTGTGGTAACCTGATAATAAATTTCATTTCCCCGTTATAAGCTCACATTTGAGGTGTGGAACAAAGAATAACCTACTCCACATCGATAAAGTATCTCCAAAATGATAGACAAAGATTCCAAGAAACTGTCTGCTAGCTTCAATATCCAACATACTTGGTACGAACTTGTATCAACAGTCTGATTTCTTTGCAGTCACTTTTTGGCAACCTGGCACCGACGAATGATAAGAGATGATTGCTTGATGAGGAAAATAAATTATTTGAATAATTAGTGTTAGATAGAAGTTTAAGAATGAAAAGAGGAGAGGTGACAATAAAAAGTGAGAAAGGAGTAGCTAGATGATACTTGGTAGTTTGGTAAATTGTGAGACAATCGCCGGGTTTCCTGTCGACTACCTCCAACCACCATCTAATCTCAATATAAAGTGCTCGCAGTGTCGAGTCACCTAGACTGGTGGCCACACTGCAACATGGTCGATAGCATTCGATCCACACAAATAAGGACTAGACACGCATGACATTGATCGCCACCCAGTGATCAATCAATTGTGAAATAGGAACTTTACATATTACTCACGAACAGGTTCTTATCACTCAGTTGGTTAAGGTACAACACCTGTTAGTCCATATAATAAGATTAGCTCTCAACCACATGATCCTCGATGGCGAACATATGACAACTCAGAACATTTGAATTCCACATTCAACACCACAGAGAAGGCCAGAAAGGAAGATGACGGGACACTTGCTATGTATAGCATGGCTCGGTTATACAGTTGAGGACACTATGTTAAATATAATATCCTATCCCTATCACGATTGTGTCGCTCGCCATAAGACTAGTTGGTGTAGGAGATGTGTGACTTTCACGTAGGATATGATAGATTAGGTAGTCACGCCGTGGTAAATCTACAATTATGGGATTAGATCTATCATTGTAGTATCAAAGCTGAGTGCCTGGCCTAGATCATGATTCTGCATCCACCAAACCAATTAATAAATCCAGGTTGACCCGATCTCTCTTAACAAAGCATCTGCTGTTTGGTTTCGTGTGAGATTTGCTCTAAATATGACATTTTTATTGTGTAACAACTAACGGTTAACAATAAGGTCTCAATGAACCGAAACTAAGGTTCGGAAGTATAGTGACTAATCATTTTTGCCCTTTGGTTATCTAGTGAGATTGTCTGTTGCCTGAATTGATAATTACAGATCAAAGTTTGATACAATTTTGTTGGGGATACGCGTGTTCATTCTCAGGTACTTCAAATTTGTATTAAGCAACCACCTTTAGCTGTACTGTACTGCAAATGATTGTGTGCGTCTTGATACAATCGTTAGATGTGAGCGACGTAGGAAAGCTTCGTACTCTATGCAGAAGAACATAATTGTCTGACTTAGCAAGACAGATATTGATGCTACTGAGGGGTTTCCTGAATTGAAACGGAGTAGTTGAATTTTGGCCCTGACGAATGTTTCAATATTCTATCTAATAATGACAACAATGGGTTTATTTATTACGATTCATTTTGTCGCAATAGGGGATTCAGAGGACAGAATGTTTCGACAAGCCAGACCTCGTTGTATATGTCGCAGGAAGTGGATGCTTTCATAAAACGTGAAAGTAGTCATATAAAGTCAAATGAAAATTGGTTGAGAACAACCTTTGAAATAATAAATTAAAGGGCAGGGTTCCTGTTCTGTTAGCACTTATAACGTTCTCAACCTACATTACAAGTACTAGTTACGGCAGTTTTGGGATTCTGTTTTTTGATTTCCTTGTCTGTTTTGTTCTCTTGTGTAACTGATGAAGGTGGAGATGAAAGTGAAGTGAGCGGTTAGTATGTAGCAGACTGACAATGAGTAGGACACGTTCGTCGATGGAATATAATGTTTTCTTCCGGAACATTAGGAGTGCTGCCAGTCGATTATAAGACTAGAGTGGTGAGCTCTAACTAACGTGGTAAACAAAAGTCTCCTGCATAGAAGTGAATGCGGAATAATGTTCTGGAAAAGTAGATTGAAGATACTTTTAGCCCCATCTCGGATTTCACACAAACTCAAGAGGCGCTCCAACTATTCAACCACTCTCAAGATCTGCATACAATATAATGCAGATATTTGAGCTCACTTAAATTTATCGGAAGTAAAGGGATTAGCACTTTCGTTAACATCTTCAGAAAGGAAGTCATTTCCGTAACATTAAACAAAATATTTTTTATCAAAATACATATCCTTCGATATTAAGAAAGTGATACATTAAACCGAGCTACTTACGCTGCAGTGCTAGTGGTCAGTCGGAATCTTGAAGAGGACAAACACTAAGAATATTTCTCCTGGCAACATGATTCTCCAGTAATGCAATAAATTTCATAACATATCATCATTTCTATTAGAAGCTTCAACTTTCCCTAGAGTCTACCAACCGCGGGTCGTGCTTTTTGATGGTACAATAATCACTTTCCTTTCCTAGATGTTACACCTCTTCATCAACTACTGCTGACTGAACTGTGGGTATGGTCCACATTCCCACAGGCATCTTTTGAAAACACACATAGGGTACTTGAATTGTGAACGAATTCGTGGAATGATGATGGGCCATTTTAATGTTTAAGGCCTAGCTTTACGAGCACGTGGACTCAGCTTTATCCCTTTTTCAATGATCTCTGGTAAGCTATAAAGAATCCAGTATAGTCTGTTACCAAAGGTGGGGAATTATAATGGTTCTGATGAACTCTTCAGAAGGGAAGTTGTGAATCAGTTATTATCTTAACTTCATCGTAGTCTACCCACAAGTAAAACGTATTCCTATCGCTGCTTTAATTGTACTGGTTCTTTTTAGGGCGAATATTTTTTGCGGGCCATGGCTACTACATGAGACGCACTTATGTGTGTACTCTAGTGCTTATTATGGGCGTCGGCGGTAGCTACGTAACCCATCTCCATTGCATCACTGAATGGATGTTGTCTTAACTCGGAGTCGTGGTTGTCACTCTTGCTCTTAACTCTAATGAAGGGAGCGGAACACGGTGGCAGATACACACATTTGACCACGCACAGTCGTGTAGATAGATCTTGCCTGCAGAACACTAGACCCCAACCTAACTGACCCTTGCAAAGTTTTGTAGGAGGAGTGCAGCTTAAGGGCACGCTTAAGCTGTAAGATCCACTGAGTTGGACAACGACGAAACAACAAAGAAGTTAACGGCTTCTCCAATGAGTTTGAGAGAAACCTAAAGTCACCTCATTATAAGCCAAATGGCCGTTGAGCGGTGCTACAGGTCACCGGCATTTCAGGCTTAGGCAATCCCCTTAACACATCGGGGAATGTAATCTTGACATCTTTAAATTACTTGTCTGTCTCTTCAATGAAAAATATTTGTTTGATGACCCGCTTATCTGAACAACTAATTTACTCACCTGCTCAGTGGCAGAAAATGTGATTAAAAAGCTATTGATATGTGTATTACTCCCAATAACTTCTGTAGCGAGACTGTCTAAGGAACCAGGAAACTATCGATTCTCCTAACTCATAACGAAATTTGCACAACGTAAAGATAATAAGACACTAAATAAATGAAATCTCATCTGGAATTCAACACACTCTCCTAGTTAAACACTGATAAACTACTATGGGCATTTTAAGTTCCCTCGATTAGGCTCAGGTCTCCTCACTTTCCTGAATATTTCTTCCGAGTCATCAGAAATGGATACAAGC